GCAAGAAACCAGCAAGTGGATTCAGCTGTTCGCACCTAAACCAGCTCGACAAGCGGTGCGGTCTGAGTTGGTGGAGGAGCTAAGCTACCCCGTGAATTCCATCAGCACGGAACAAGTTACTGCTGACACGGTGTCTATGCTGACGGCGATGGGTATGGCTACACACGCCTATCCATCAAAGATAGCGCTAGCTGACTGGTCGCCGACCGAGGCAGGCGCAGAATTGCAGAAGTGGAAGAAGAAACTCAAAGCAGCCTTTGGCAGTCAAGGTGTGGGGGTTGGTCGACAACCGGTGGCCCGAGCTATTGGTGAGAAGGTTAATCCAGCGAACGTCCCACTGCCGCAGACTCCAAAGAAGGTGACCAAGAATGTGTTTGCATCTGGAGAACAGTCGCAATACTTCCAAGACTCGCATATGATCACTCCGCGGTCGGCGAATCGACAACGACGACTGGTGAGCGAGATACAACATGAAGAACATACAGCGAATACTCACCAAGGTACAAGCCGACGGTCGACAGCACGAACTACGCGTGATGCACGAACTACGCGTGATGATAGCTCGTCGGATGATGACGATGACCCATTTGACTTCTATGGTGACCAGACAACTGAGCTCGCACAGCAAATCCGCGAACTTACTGAGATGGAAGTCATGAATTCAACTCCAAGGATTGAATTGTTGCAACATCGACCACTCACGCAGATCACCCCGTTCCGTGGTAGATTGGACGAGAGTGAAAATTCGATGCAGTGGTTGCGTGGATTTGTTTACGAGATGAAAGGGACTCACACTCCGCCATATGAGTGGTGCGTTGCGTTCCAACTAAGTTTGAGAGATGGTGCAGTTCACTGGCACCGAGCTCTATCCAGAAAAAACGAAGCGAACATTGAGTCTTTTGAGTGATAAGTTCATCAGTTATTACTGTTCGCAGTTTAGTCAGTCAGCTAGTACTCGGTACTATCGCGCCAAGAGAATGGAGAAAGAAAACATTCGCGACTACCTGAACAGACTCAATGGATATGCGCGCAATGCAAATATCAAGTTCGAGAATGGAGGTCGTAACGCCAGGGAGCATGTGAAACATTTCCTGGAGACTTGTGGTGATAAAGATCTCGA